GCTCGCTCTCGCCGGCAGAGGAGGTGACCCGAGGCGAGGGCGCGGGTGGGTAACCCACGTCGCGGGGAGCGCGCCGGGGGAGCGCGCGGGAGGGGAGCGCGCGGCAGGTGCCTTCCTTCCCGTGCCCACGCGCGGGGTGGGCGCTGCGCCCCCGCAGCCCCGACCGGCCCCGCGGGCCCACCGGCACCTCCCGGGGCTGCTGCTCAGGANTCTTAGTATGGATTTCCAGAATGATCTTACAACTGTTCACACAAACTGTTTGTAGTCATTATTTCTTTGGACCATTACACGAACCCTGTCTCTACCTTCTCTAAGGAATTATGGTAGCATATGCACGGCATAGTCCTGCAGGTGGGCGATTGAGTTAGGGACGGGGAGAGTCTCTGCTTGACATTGTGTTTAAAAATACAGTGTATTTAGCCCAGCCAGGTGTGGCTCAGCGGTTGGGTATTGACCTAGGATCCATGAGATCAAAGGTTTGACCCCTGGTCAGGGCACATGCCCGGGTTGTGGGCTCAATCCCCAGTCAGGGGGCAGCCAATCAATGACGGCTCTCTCATCATTGATGTTTCTCTCACTCTCTCCCCCTCTTCCTTCCTCTCTCTGAAGTCAATAAAGATAAATATATATGTATGTATGTATATTATACATATATAAATACATTGTATTGTATTTAAAAATATTTTTATGGACACCCTGCTGTCCATTTTCTAAAGCACCACATTTAAGACATCTAAATTATTTTTTTTAATATACTTTGCCTCTTGAAAAATATGTTTTTATTGATTTCAGAGAGAGGAAGGGAGAGGGAGAAAGAAAAAGGAACATCCATTGGGCTGCCTCCTGCACGCCCCCTAGTGGGCATAGAGCCGGAAAACCTGGGCACGCTCCCTGACCTGAAATTGAACCAGTGACTGTCCACCTTTGGGTGCACAGGCTGATGCTCAACCAGCTGAGCAACACCAGCCAGGGGGAAGGTAAAACTTAAAGCCACCAACTCTAGGAGCATTTCTGTCACTTCACCAACCTAAGGAAGCCACCCTCTCCCCACCCACGCTCTGTAAAATTCCCCATTTTCATTGTACCCACAGCAACGCTCAGAATGTAACACTATCATTTAAAAAGTGGCCTCTTCCTTAAAAAATACGGATGTGTGTCTTATTTGCCACTGTACCACCCCTTAGGGATCAGACGGTGCCAGGTAGACAGCTCAGGAAAGTCCGAGTTGTTGAATTTTAGAGGAAGTAAAAAAAAAACCTCTGTATATTTGCGGAGGCTGGAAGGAACCTTGGAGGTCACCCTTTGGCCAAGTCCAGAATCACTGGAAAGCTGGGGGAAGTTGAGGGCCCAAGAGCCACAAGGCGACGTGCAGAAAGCTCGCTGCCCACCCTCCCCAGAGCTTTTGCAGACCTCGCCTTACTCTGCTCTCCGACCTCCCTGGGGTTTGGGGCCTTGGCGGGCTCCTCGGTCTCCAGGACTGTCTCGGGGACCCAAGGGAGACAGATGAGCGAGTGGGGACATCCGCCTGCACCCCCAAGGGAGGCCCCCCAGGGGAGAGCTGTAACGGGGTGCCTTCCCTTCGTTGGAAGTAAAGAGTATCCAGGACACCTGCGCCTCTCTGGGACCGCCGGCAGCCACTCCCCGCGTGGGGAGCGAGGCAAGGCCACGGGAAGGCCATCACCTCGTGGGTGAACCGTCCAAAGACCGGGGCAGGCCCTGCGATTACGCCGCCGCTCTGGCGCTCAGTCTCCCCGTCTGTGCAATGGGTGCGTGTGCGGGGCCAGGTCCACCCGCCGGCCCAGCTGGTGCAGGAGCTACGCCGGCGGGTTCTGGCCGCGGGCCCGGGGATGAATGGATTCGCCTGCAGGAGGGGGTCCCGGGACCGCAGAGGCCGGCCCGCCGGGGGTGAGACACCCCAGGTGCTAAGGGGAGGTCGCGAGTCAAAGGTCGGGCTCCTGTCAAGTTAAAGGGAAGGAAAGAAAAACCCAAAAAACACACCGAAGTCCCCCTTAGGGTCCCCGCCGGGCTGGGTCCTGCAATCACGTGACGAAGCCTCCCGAGGCGGAGCTTCAGCGCCCGTGCGGGGGGCGGAGTCTGGCTCCTCCAATGGGAGCGCGGCTGTCCTTCCCCGGCAGCCAATCAGCGCAGGGAGACGGTAAAATTTAAACCCCCCTCCTTCCCCCTCCTCCGCCGGGACCTGTCCCGAAAGCGTTTGTAGAAAGTGCGNGGACAGCGCAGCGGCGGGAGGCGACGTCCCTGCCCCGGGTCCTTCCTTCCACTTAGTTTGCTGTCAGGACAGTAAGACCCACGTCATGCGGCAAAGTGATCCAGCCGCTCTGTCTCCTTCATGCAAAAACTTGAGCGTGACTGTTGACTAGGATGACCCTTTTTTTAAAAAAAAAAAAAAGGAAGCTGAGGCTTTACGTTTTTCTCAGTATTGCAAGGCCCTGCATTTTAGTAGGAACTGGCCGGCCGTGATGCCGTTTGCTCCTTATGGTAATAATAATAAACACAATAAGGATTCAGGATTCCTTCAGCAAATGTGTATTGGGCCCCTTTGGTTTTCAGGCCTTCGCCCGGTTGCATGATTGATTCTCCCAGCATCCCTCCAGGGTCTTTTGGGACAAGGCTTACCGAGATGCTGATTAGGAAATGAGGCGCGCCCCCCTCCCCCCCGCCAACCTCAGGTTAAAGAGCTTAATAACTCAGCCCACAGAGGGCAGTAAGACGGGTACTTTTCTACAGAAAAGTGTTAAGCATCTAAAAGCATATTAATAGTATCCAACTAATTTATCCGACAAATCTCAAATAAAAGTATGCTTCTCCGATTCACCTTCCCATCACAGCAAAATCATTTAAACTACCTGTTTCAACAGTGGTGCATTAAAAAAAAAAAAAAAAAGTTTGTTTTAACTAATCTATGGCGGAGAGGCAGGGAAACAAAACTAAGCACTTTGCCATCAAAGTACTTAAATACTTAAGATGGGCCCAAAAATACTTAATAATTACCAATATTTAGTAATTACCATTAAGGGCCAGACACTTTATTATCTCAGTGAATTTTTACAAATTGTTATTTCCGTTTTTCAGAGGTGGAAGCTGGAGTCCAAAGTCACTGTCTGGACTCTGGCCATGCTGTGCCTTTGCTGGTTCCACCACACCTCTATTAGCCAAAGCAAGACCAGTGTTCCCACCTCCTACCCTGGCAGGCTTCATACCACCTCCGTAGTTTATTGGTTAGTGATCCCCACTGTCTCACTCACCCCCCCCAATTAGTAGTTACTTATTTCTCAGGCTGCATCGCTCTGGCAAACCACTAAATTGTGCATTTGGTGTCATAAATATCAAATCATTTACAGTGCTTCAAATGAGGGGCCAGGTTTTTTTTCTTCTAGAAAAGTGGTCTTTGTTCCAAACTTGTAGTTCACTGGGAGAGGCCCCCTGGGTCACAGGAACGAAAGGTTCAGACACCAGGCCACTCCTCTCTGGTTTTGAGGTTTTACAACCATGTCAATACTTTCATCCTGGAGTGTATTAGTCTGAGGATCAGTCCACCTCCCCTGCCACTGTCAGATGGCCTCCTAATTGGTCTCCCTCTTTTCACTTTTGCCATCTCCAATTTATCATTCCTCAGCAGCTTACAGTGATCCCCAAGAACACAGATTTTCATCATGTGACTTTCGCTATTCCCGGTACCCCAAAACCTCCCCATTGCTCTTAGGGATCAAATCCACAGTCCTCACCATGGCCCGTAGGGCCCCACTGACCTCTCTGTCCCCTCTGTCCTCACCGTGCTCCGTCGGTCTCTGTGTTCGCTGTTGTGTCCTTACCACAGGGCCCGAGACAAAGTAGGTGTTTGCAGAATGAACGAATTGCTCTGTTAGTGTCAGAGTTCAGTAGACAATCTTCGTGGTAAAGTACCCTCGTAGAGCAGAGCTTAGGCCGGTGACGGTCCTCTTCCCCGAGCCTCAGTTTCTCTAGCTGTAAAACAGGAATAGTACCTTCTCGTAAACGGTTGGGAAGGTTTAATTGAACAGCGGCTTATTGCAGGGCCCAACTCAGAGTAAGCAGTCAGTTCAGGTTAGCTCTTGGTATCATTGCCGTCGAATTCTGTTTCTGTGAGATCCTGGGCAACATGAAGAGTTTTTACTCCTGCTGCTGGGTGTGCCTGTGACGGGTACATATGAGCACCTTCCTTACAAAGAAAGGAAAGAGTGTTTTGCAACATGTGCTGGGTGGTGTTACAATTTCTAGGTTCTAGAGTGCAGAGGTGAGAGGAGTGGGCGCTAGACTTGTACTTTCATGTATCCCCTGCCCTTGCCTAAAATAGAGAACGCTATGGCCATGAGTGTGTGTGTGTGTGTGTGTGTGTAGGGTGGGGGTTAAAATAGTACCTGAGGTGGATAAGGTGATCTGAGCAGCTGCTTCCTGCTCTCAAACCACGATTCTCATGATAGCCTGGCAACGGCAACCCTTCTGTGCCCTGCAGATGTGACGGACACTGTTTCAAATGGCTCCTCTGCCTGGCTTCTGTTTCACTCTTGGTGTTCAAGTGGGCAGAGTTCCTCCCCGGGAGGGTGGGGGTGCGGGTGCGGTTCCCCAGCCCTGGCCTGAAGGATGCTAGAACCTGAGCTGGCCCGGGAGGCTTTTCCTAAGCTCTGTCGGGCCATGTAATCGTCCTGAGTCTTACCCCTTCTAAGGGGAGGTACAGTAGCTCCTTAAAGCCACAGCCCGTTGTTTCATCTGTGGATGCTGGAAGGTGCCCTGGGTGGTGGGTTATGGAATCCAAGGTTCGTGCTGTTTGTCCGTGAGGACGCTGAGGCCTAGCCTGGGACAGTGACTGGGCCATGGTCACAAAGCACCCCTGGGGCTGATGCAGGGAGAGAAACCCGATCCTCGCTCCCAGGTCATGACCTAAACAGCGGGGTGGCCCGAGGTGTCTTGTTGACATCTGACTTTGCACAAATACAGGGACCATTTGGCCGGGGCCCTCCCACCCCATGACTGCAGTAGCGTGGCACAGGGCAGGGAGCTGTGCGGAGATAAGACGCCCCAGTTCCTGGAACCCCTGCCTGCCCTGCACTTTCCCGCGGGGCGTGGGGGCGGGGGCGCGAGGCCCTGGGGACTTGCTAACCGCTTCTGCAACCCATCTGCTCCTCCCAGCCGTAATTCCCTCTCCTCCGACCGCGCAGGGTAGTGCCTGGGAGTGTAGCCCGGGGTCAGTTCTCTTTCTGAGAACCTGGGCAGCCTCCTCATGTCCCCCTCTGTGAGCAACACAATAGCACCCGCCTTCCCAGGGCGGTGGTGAGGTCTGCAGGAGAGAACTACCCACGAAAAGCGCCCCGCCAACTTCCCATTTATAAAACAGCCCTGGCTCGGGCGCCCCGGGGCCCGCACCCGGCCGGCGCAGGCCGCCCGGGTTTCCCACTCCCCGGGTCTGTGCCTGGGGCAAGGCCCGCACCTCCCCTGGGCCCAGGGCCTGGCCCCGATGCGCTCGCGGGGAGGCG